TTTTCTGAAATTAATTTCTCTCTTCTTTTTTGGTGCTTAAGACAGCCTCACCTCTCTAAAACATTTTTAGGAAACCCTTTGAGAGCCTTCACTTACAGTCGGTCCTACAATTACCCCCCTTTTTTCTTCTTTCTGCCAAACATAAAATACGTCTGCTGGAAGCATGGGACTTTGCCTTTTATCCAAAAGTAGGCATGTGTTTGGAATCTAATTTAGAGATGCTGATGATTTAATGCTTTAAGTGAAAACAGAGGCTGAGGCAGGGGTCTTAGAGTTTGGTGCATGTAAGCTTCCTGCTGATTAAGTCATTTGGGGCCCTCAAAGAGCCATTTAGCATAGCAATTCCTAAAAGCTGACCTGTAGCCACATAGTTCTTTCTGATAAGGTGATTAATAATTGAAAAAAACAGTGATCCTTTCTTGAGTTTTTCTTTTGGTTTCATAGATTTTCATAACTGCATACAGCCAGAGTCTGCTCTTAAAAATCTATCTTGTGGTTACTAGGGAGTCATCTGTGCTTACTTAGATTTGACACGCAGGAACGAAGGGCGCTAATAATTTACTGAGGCCTCCCAGTCAGCTAGCCTGGTCCTGTCCTTTCTCGGCAGTAAGACCAAACTCACTGCCTAGCAGGGCCTTCACATTTCCTATTTCCTCTGCTTTGGATGCAATTTTTTTAAAAAATTATGTTGTTTATTTGAAAGAGAGAGAGAGAGCGAGTGAGCTCTCCCATCTACCAGTTCATGCCCCAAATGCTTGTGGCTACTGGGAATAAGCCAGGCTGAAGCTGGGAGGAGGAACTCGATATGGATCTCCTGCACGGGTAGAAGGTTGTGCACTAGCAGAAATCTGGACTCTCGAGCAGAGCTGGGACGCAAACCCAGGCCCTCTGATACGGGGTGTGGGCGTCCGAAATGGTGCCTTAACCACTACACCAAACGCCTGCTCCTGGATGCAGTTTCTTGATTCTTTGTAGGTTGGCGCCATCCTGCTGCTTAAATATCAGTTCAAACGATTGCTCAGAGATGCCTCCCGTGTCTCACTCCACCTATGACAGCCCCCAGTCATTCTTGGTCACCTAATCCTGTTTTGTTTCATATGTTGCTGTTTTGTGTTTATTGGCAGTCTTGCCCCTAAAACTTCAGCTCCACAAGAACTTGTTTATCTTGTCCTTTTCTATATTTCTAGCTTCTAGAAACAATGCTAATCCATGGTAGGCACTCAAATATTTGCTGGATGAAAAAATGCTTCCGCTTGTGATTTCGCCTATTGGCATGCAGATATTAGATTCCTACTGGACACTGCAGCAGGGGGCATAGGTGAACTGTGGTATTTTCTGCATCACTAAAAATAACCGCAGGAGTGGATATTTGGCCTAGCAGTTAGGATGCCAGTTAAGAAACCTCGCCCCACAGCAGAGAAACTGAGTTAAACACCCAACTCTGACTCCTGAATCCAGCTTCCTGCTAATGCAGATCCTAGGAGACAACCTCAAGTAGCTGGGATTCTACCACCCATGTGGGAGGCCTGGTCTCCTGGCTTTGGCTAGGTCTAATCCTATTGCTTGCAACAAAAGACTGTGAGATTTTAATTTTTCATCAAATGTTTATACAGTGGCAAATATGTGCCAGGCAAGGGAGCCACACAGAAAGCGTCCGTGCCCTCATGCAGCTTAAGTGAAGACAGCATTATTCTTCCTTCTGCTTCTTTCTGTAAGTGGCCATTTCCTCTGGTTAAGATCCCCAGCTCCTGGCCGGTGCTGTGGCATAGCAGGTTAAACATCTGCCTGTGGCGCCAGTTGGTGTTCTGGCTGCTCCTCTTCCATTCCAGCTCTATGTTTATGGCCTGGGAAAGCCTTGGGAGATGGCCCAAGCGCTTTGGCCCCTGCACTCATGCGGGAGACCTGAAAGAAGCCCCTGGCTCCTGGGTTCAGATCAGCCAAGCTCCAGACATTGGGGCCATTTGGGGAGTGAACTGGCAGAGGGAAGACCTCTCTCTGTCTGTAACTCTCTCTCTCAAGAAAATAAATAAATAAATCTTTTTAAAAATCCCTAGCTGCTGCAGCCTTTCTTCGGTGACATTCCTTTAGCACCACACCCTGGCACCCCTGAAGGTCTGTAGATTGATAGAGTATTGGTAAGAAATCTTAGATAGCAAGTGCTGGAAAATCAATCAGTTAAATTAAGTGAAATGTGAGACTATTGGTTCAGGAAACTGGAAATCCTAGGAGGAGTCCTTGGTGGCAAGGCAGCTCAGGGCTCTGTAATGATGCTCTGGGGATGCAGGGCAGAGTGCCACAGGCTGGGGCCTCAGCAACACAAAGCAACTCCCACGCAGTTCCAGAGCTGAGAAGTCCAAAGATAAGATATTGGCAAGGGGAGAGGCTTTGTAGCTTAGCAGCTACGGTGCCTCTGTCCCACATTGGAGTACTAGGGTTCAAGTCTCAGCCCTGGCTCCTGATTCCAGCTGCCTGCTAAGACAGACCCTGGGAGGCAGTGGTGATGGCTCCAGGAGTATGGTTCCTGTTACTAACCAGACTAAGTTCTCAGTTCCCAGTCTGGACCTGTTCCAGCCCCTGCCGCTGTAAGCATATGGGAAGTGAGCAAGTGAATGGATTCTCTCTCTCAAATAAATACATTTTAAAAATTCTTCTAAAGAGCTGCCGGGAAGGTTGGTTCCTTCTGTGTTGCCTGACTTTGTAGCTTCAGGGATCATGTGGCGGCACCCCCTGCCCTCCCCTTAGGTTTCTGTGGTGTTTTTCCTGCAAGGAAGTCTCATATGCAAACTTCCCCCATTTATAAGGACACCAGTCAGGATGAACTAGGGACCCCCCTAATGAGCTCATGTTAACTAATTGTACCCACATTAATCCTATCTCTGAATAAGGCCACGTTCTCAGGGACTGGAAGTTAAGACTTCATCATCACAGTGTCTTCAACAATCTCTTCATCTTTTGGTTCTACTCCCTCTGTCTACTTCCGCCTTATCCAGGCTATCTCCAAATTGTGATGGAAGTGGATATCGGCACCACTGCAGTTGGAAAGAAGTGCCTTTTGTTAAGTTGTTAAAAACAAAACAAGCAGCTCAGTAGGCTAATCCTCTGCCTGCGGCCCCAGCACCCGGGTTCTAGTCCTGGTCGGGGCGCCGGATTCTGTCCCGGTTGCCCCTCTTCCAGGCCAGCTCTCTGCTGTGGCCTGGGAGTGCAGTGGAGGATGGCGCAAGTGCTTGGGCCCTGCACCCACATGGGAGACCACGAGAGGCACCTGGCTCCTGCCTTCGGATCAGCGCGGTGCGCCAGCCGCAGCACACTGGCCGCAGCGGCCATTTGGGGGGTGAACCAACGGAAGGAAGACCTTTCTCTCTGTCTCTCTCACTGTCTAACTCTGCCTGTCAAAAAAAAAAAAAAAAAAAAAAAAAGAAAGAAAAAAGAAAAAACACAAGCCCCAGCCCTGTCTGTGATTGGCCCAGCTTGGATCATGTACTCATGACCTGCCCAGTGTCAGGGGAAGCAGAGGAATATTCAGGCTTGCCAGCCCTGGCCTGTATGTTTTGCCCTGCATCTGGGATGTAGATCAGTCCCCGCCTGAAAAACAGGGCTTCCATGTGGAGAAGGGGGCTTCCCTAGAGAAAAAATATGATATATTCCTAGCAGAAGAGGTACAGGTCTCACCTACATGGACAAGAGCTGACCACTGCAATCGGTGATACTCTTCTGCCCTGTTCGCACCATCTCGGCTCATGAGCCTAGTATTATTTATTTATTTAAGAGTCAGAAAGTGAGACAGACAGACAGACGGACAGAGCTCCCATCTGCTGGTTCACTCCTCAAATGCCTGCAAAGGCTGGAGTTTGGCCAGGGCCAAAGCCAATAGCTAGCCAGGAATTCCATCTAAGTCTCGGGGTAGATGTTTAAGCTTCTTAGACTGTCCTTTTATTTGCTTACTTCTAAATTACTTACCTTGCTGATATGAAATTTTATGATTCTTCAACAACATACTTAAAGTCCTTTTCTCCTTGGGATAGTATTTGATCTATATAAGGACCAATTCTCTAAAAGTCTAGACTTATCTTTTTTTCAAGTGGAGGAGTGAGTTTCACTTTGTTTTGATTTGCAGCCCCTATACTGACAGTTTTGGCTACCTGGTGCTTTGGGGTCCTGATAAGAGTAACACAAAAGCTTAACGAAGCCGTTAGCAGATGGGCTGGCTGGGACTAATAACCACAGACAGCAGATAGGATGCCTCTGTTCAATAGTCTACAAAATGGGACTTACTTAATTCTGCTGTGACACATTGTTCTTGGCTGACAATGGTCTCTCTCTAGAAAATTCAAGGTCTTCCCCATCTCTCTACAGAGAAAAGCAGTAGCTCGGGAATTTGTACCCAAGCTTACAGAAAACCCACACCTTCCAATCTTTCCTTTAGGATTCAAACTTTCTAAAAGCTCACTTACTCATGAGACAAGACTCATAAGAAAGGAGACACCGTGCCTTGAGCACTTATTAATATTCATTACTATTTCCAAACAAGGACCAAAGTGAGATGATATTGTCAGACTTATGAAAATGTCTCGTGAAAAGTCACAAAATACTGCTATGCACAGGGTGCCACTTCAGGCTTTAACAGTGTAGTTTGTACAGCTTGGTCTACCCAGCACCACACTTCAGCTAACCCAGACAATGGGTAGAATTACATATGGATGTATATAGAATGGAACTTTAGAAAGTTCATGCATCAACAGAATTAAAAGATAAATTCACTTTGGTACAAGAAGATAAACTGAAGTCAATGCATAGCTTTTTCACAATATGCATTTCTTGTGTACTTTTACAAGACCTCTCATACTGAGATGGTACATGGAAGGTACAGGTGCTCTACCTCTGACTTCTAGAATCATGCTGTATTCATCAGAGATCAGGCAGGATTCTCCAGAGGAACAGAACTGACAGGATGTAGGTACAGACACATAGATAAAGACGATAAGGACTTAGCTCACCTGCTTACGGAGATGGGAAGGCCAAACGTTGGCAATCTGAAGTACTTGAGTTCCTGCCACCTATGTGGGAGACTTGAATAGAGTTCCTGGCTCCTGGCTTCGGCCTGACCCAGCCCCAGGTATCTGTGTATGTGCTTCTTCCTGTCACTTTGCCTTTCAAATAAATAAAGAGAAACAAACTCTTTTGAAAAAACGAAACACTCATGGCCGGTGCCATGGCTCACTTGGTTAATCCTCCTCCTGTGGCGCCAGCATCCCATACGGGCGCCAAATTCTGTCCTGGTTGCTCCTCTTCCAGTCCAGCTCTCTGTTGTGGCCCGGGAGGGCAGTGGAGGATGGCCCAAGTCCTTGGGCCCTGCACCCGCATGGGAGACCAGGATAAGTACCTGGCTCCTGGCTTCGGATCAGCGCAGCACACCGGCCATAGCAGCCATTTAGGGGGTGAACCAACGGAAGGAAGACCTTTCTCTCTGCCTCTCTCTCTCACTGTCTAACTCTATCTATCACATAAAAAAATAAATAAAAATAAAAAAGAAACACTCAGAAAAAACTTGAGCATATATATATATCACCCCAAAATTGACATATAAAGTTGACCATCATATACACAGACCCATTCTAATCCCACTTCCAATGCTTTAGTCTCTGGGCAAGTAAGTGAAGTACTTCAATAATCAGTTTCGTTGTCTATGAAACAGAAGACAAAATACCTGGCTAATAAAGGTGTTTTGAGGACCAAGTAGGTTAACCTACAAAATGATTTGTTAGAGAACCTATAGAAAGCACACAGCACAACAACAACTATTGTTAAATTAAAAATTTTTTTTTCCTTTAAGAATTATAAAAACATAAGTGTCCTGGATGCTTTTGCTTGAACATAATGTTTAAATAAGTAGAATCGTGGGGCTGGCGCTGTGGTACAGCCAGTTAAAGCCCTGGCCTGCAGCACTGGCACCCCATATGGGCACAGTTTGAGTCCCTGTGGCTCTACTTCTGATCCAGCTCCCTGCTCTCGCACCTGGGAAGCAGCAGAGGACAGGACAAGTCCTTGTGCCCCTGCACCCATGTGGGAGACCCAGAAGAAGCTCCTGGCTCCTGGCTTCAGCTTGGCGCAGTCCCAGTGCTTGCAGACATTTGGGGAGTGAACCAGTGGATGAAAGACCTCAGTCTACCTCTCTCTGTAACTCTGCATTTCAAATAAATAAATCTTTTTTTTTACAAAGTATAATCTTTGAAAAAACACACCTAGCTAATATTTATATTTCATTTTGTGAAAAATTATATGAGAGAGAGAGAGAGAGCAAACTCTCATCCACTGGTTCACTCCCCAGATGCCTCCAACAGCCAGAGTTGGGCTGGTCCACAGTCAGGGCCAGGAACTCAATCTAGATCTTCCACATAGGTGACTTAGATCCAACTACTTGGGCTTTTACTGCTGCAACTCAGGATCTGAATTTTTTTTTTTTTTTTTTTTGACAGGCAGAGTGGATAGTGAGAGAGAGAGAGACAGAGAGAAAGGTCTTCCTTTGCCGTTGGTTCACCCTCCAATGGCCGCCACGGCTGGTGCGCTGCGGCCGGTGCACCACGCTGATCCAAAGGCAGGAGCCAGATGCTTCTCCTGGTCTCCCATGGGGTGCAGGGCCCAAGCACTTGGGCCGTCCTCCACTGCCTTCCTGGGCCACAGCAGAGAGCTGGCCTGGAAGAGGGGCAACCGGGACAGAATCCGGCGCCCCGACCGGGACTAGAACCCGGTGTGCCGGCGCCGCTAGGTGGAGGATTAGCCTGTTGAGCCGCGGTGCCAGCCAGGATCTGAATTAACAGGGCATGGAGTTAGGAACCAGAGCTAACCATCAAGCCAGGCACTCTGATTAGGGATGTAGGTTTCTTAATTGCTGTCTTAACCCCTTAGGCCAAATGCCCATCCCTGGATAATATTTTTAATCTAGAAAAAGTTACTGTACCAAAGTTATAAAGGAATTTTTTGTTGTATTTAGTTTGTAATTCAAGAATAAGTTATATCTTGAAGTAATTTTTATAAAAAACTTTCCATGCATAGATACAGTACAGAGTTCTTTAAGAAAACAACTGGAGGCCGGCGCCATGGCTTACTAGGCTAATCCTCCACCTGCGGCGCCAGCACACCGGGTTCTAGTCCTGGTCGGGGCACTGGGTACTAGTCCCGGTTGTTCCTCTTCCAGTCCAGCTCTCTGCTGTGGCCCGGGAGGGCAGTGGAGGATGGCCCAAGTGCTTGGGCCCTGCACCCGCATGGGAGACCAGGAGAAGCACCTGGCTCCTGCTTTTGGATCAGCACGGTGCGCCGGCTGCAGTGCACCAGCCGTGGCGGCCATTGGAGGGTGAACCACTGGCAAAAGGAAGACCTTTCTCTCTGTCTCTCTCTCTCACTGTCCACTCTGCCTGTCCAAAAAAAAAAAAAAAAAAAAAAAAAAAAAAAAAAAAAAAACAACTGGAGCAAATATTCTGGTGTCTTCCATAGAACCTGAGAAGAATGTTGGGGTGTTACATAAGCACGAGGAATTAGGAAGGAAGCATGCTTTGACAGCCAGAGGGGAAGAGCATGGAGGAAGTGAGAGACTGGCGGTACCCATTACAAGTGACAGTCTTTGTTTCCTAGAGTATGCTGCTATGACATCTGCTCAGGAGAAGCTGTAGAACCTAGTTAATAAAAGACGAATTTGAACTTTATTAACAAAAATCAAGCCAGCCTCAGCAGTTACAGGATCTTACCTGAAGTTTGAGATCACTGAGGAAAAAAAGGCCAGCCCACAACAGGATGTTAGAGTTTAGAAGGTTTCAGGCTTTTGTATTTACTTGACTCGTGATTTCCAAGTATAACACCAGCTTATACTCAACCAATAAATAAACGATATAATTTGTGCTGGGCGGGAATCAACAGGCACTGTACAAAGAGTTTCCTTTCTCCCAAGGGACTCCTCAGGATTTTGTAGGATCTGATGGAGATTTCATTTTTGGGTGCCTTAGTTGTGAAAGAGGAAGATGAGGGGGATGATGCCGAAAACTCTCCTGCCCTCTAGCAAAGTGTGAAAGGGTTTCTGTTTTTATTGGATAAGTGAGCCTATCCTGCCAGTGATGAATGGCTTTCTTAGGTCTCTTTCTAACCATAATTTGTAATTCCAAGAATGAGGTCTCCCTTTTACAGCCAAAGCAAAAGTGAGACTGTAGCTGAAGTCATTCTGATAATTACCGGCATCCTCTACTTCCCTTTGGTACCCCAAACCTGGCCTGTCTCAACCAGAGAATGGCCCTCTGGATTGAGGGGATGAGTGGTTAACTGGGTTCACTGCCAAGGACAAATGCACGGGCTCCCACGGTGAAGTTGGTAGATGTGATATCTCCCAGCAGAATTTTGGAAGGGCTGAGATAGGTGCAAGCAGATTGTCATATAGGTTTGGGATATCTGAGCAATAATGACAAGTAGCAAGAAGGCTGGGAACAACGAAGCTACTCCAAAGACCACTGGGATCAATGGCTTTTGCACATAAGGAGAATTGCAACAGACTCCCAGAAAAAGTGTGAAGATTCTGAAAGTTTTCATCATCAACAGCTCGTGCATGATACTTCATGGTTTCACACTCTCACCCTTTGAGCTATTGCGCTCTTCCCTGCCAGCTTCGTCTCCCCTCCAGCTCACGATGGTACCCACTGCTGCCCTTTGTCTATGCTATGGACACTGTCATTTCTTGCACCTTTGGTCCCATGATGGCCCAGGGGTGACAATGAGATACCATGTATGGTATATGACAGCTCCTCGGGGTAGGGACTCACCCCTTGAAGAGCAGTGCTCAATAAACTGGCATTTTAGGTACAAGGAGGGGATCAGCAGCTTACAGCACATTGATGGACTTTAGAAATGCATGCGGTTGAGTTCCTTTAACCATAGTCTAGCACAGGCCAACGATGAAGATGTTGTTGAGTTCTTCACATTGCTGGGCAGTTACTTTTTCATTTTACTTAAGGGAAAGAAAGGAGTAAAATAAGTGGGCTAAACAGAATTGATTTTGTTGGGTTTTGTGCTGTAAGAGATGAGTGACTTCATTAGCTGCTATCTGGAATTTTCTGAGACAGCTCATAAGAATTGGAAACCTCGCCTTCTCCACTATTAGTTGAATTGGAGCAGGCAGGGCAGGCTTACTCGGTATGGCCAAATTTGATGCACTCCTAAGGAAGACAGAATCCTGCCACCAGCTATTGTCCATTTTTTGTGGCCCCAGCTGGAAGCTAGGGTTCAGATGGCCTAAGGGTTCTGGGCTCAGACTTCCCCTAGGTGACCAAGGCCCAGTGAATTGTATGCTGTCTTTCTTGTTCTCCTTCTGAGCGTTTCTTGATACCCACAAGGCCCCTGGATGGTAAAGCCAAAGCAAGGGGAAGCTAATAGTCAGGGGCCTTCTTCAGTCCATACAGAAGAGCTTGCAGATGGTTGTTCACCCTTCCTACTTTTTTTTTTAAGGTTTTTTTTTTTTTTTAATTTGAAAGGCAAAGTTACACAGAGAGAGAGGGAGAGACACAGAGAGAAATCTTCCATCTACTGGTTCACTCCCCAAACGGCTGCAATGGGTGGGGCTGGACTGGGCTGAATCCAGGGACCTGGAGCTTCATCTGGGTTTCCCATGTGGCTGGCAGCGGCCCAAGCACTTGGGCCATCTTCCGTTGCTTTCCCAGGTGCGTTATCAGGGAGCTGGATTGGAAGTGGAGCAGCCAGGACATGAACCAGCATGGAAATGAAGCAGCCAGGATGTGAGCAAAGTACCCATATGGGACGCTGCTGTTGCAGGCAGAGGCTTCACCTGCTGTGCCAGAATGCCAGCCCCTCCTTCTTTTTAAAAGATTTTTTTTAATTTGAAAGGCAGAGTTACAGAGAAAGAGAGAAATTTTCCGTTTGCTGATTCACTCCCCAAATGGCCACAAAGGCCAGGACTGGGACAGACTGAAGCCAGCTTTATCCAGGTGTCTCATGTGCATACTTGGGCCATCCTCATCGCTTTGCTTTCCTAGACTCATAATCAGGGAGCTGAAGTGAAGTTAGAACAGCTGGGACTCGAACCAGCACCCATAAGGGATGCTGCATTGCAGCTGGAGGCTTTACCCACTATGCCACAGCACAGCCCCAAACCCTT